TACACTACTCTACACTACCCTATACACTACGCTATACACTACACACTAGTGCTGTGCTAGTACACTACACTATACACTACACAGTACACTACACTATACACTACACTAGTGCTGTGCTAGTACACTACACTATACACTACACAATACACTACACTACACACTAGTGCTGTGCGAGTACACTACACTATACACTACACTACACACTAGTGCTGTGCTAGTACACTACACTATACACTACACTATACACTACACAATACACTACACTACACGCTAGTGCTGTGCTAGTACACTACACTATACACTACACAGTACACTACACTACACACTAGTGCTGTGCTAGTACACTAAACACTACACTGCACACTAGTGCTGTGCTAGTACAATATACTATACACTACACTATACACTACACTACACACTAGTGCTGTGCTAGAACACTACACTATACACTACACTACACACTAGTGCTATGCTAGTACACTACACTAAACTACTCTACCCTACACTATGCACTACTATACACTACACTATACACTACACTACACACTAGTGCTGTGCTAGTACACTACACTATACACTACACTATACACTACACACTAGTGCTGTGCTAGTACCATAAACTATACACTACACACTACTATACACTACACTATACACTACACGCTAGTGCTGTGCTAGTACACTACTATATACACTACACTATACACTACTATATACTACACTATACACTACTATATACACTACACTATACACTACACTATACACTACACTATACACTCGTGCTGTGCTAGTGACGAATTGGCACGTTCTGTTTACGTGACAACCCTTACTAGTTGGCTGTGTCGGGTGGTGGCGGGTTTTAACGACACAACATTTATATATTTATGCGATGAAACCCAAAAACTTCTATTATCGATTCACTACGTTATACACAACATATTTGCACTCATAAGTCGCTTGCCTACTCGGTGTTTCGTATCGAATCTCATCTCAAACAATCGAAGGGTGCCCCTAAGTGGCAGCTGCCCCTGTGTGGCACAAGGTGGCCCTACACCAGCCTGCACGTGGGCATGAGTATGTCGGTAAGGAGGCGATCATTGACGCGTCATCTCCCTTGTGGAGATTCTGGATAATGTTACTGGAATTACCACAATTTTGACCGTGACACCAACACGCAATATGACCTGTGCGTTTTGAGTGACACAATACTATGTTTGACATCCGCTGTTAAGCAGACTGCGCATATTGTGGTGAATGTTACTGGGGTGGGCAGGTGTGCCTGTCGGGTTTGAACCTTAAACCTCTGCAACAAATTTGAGAATGCGCTACCATATTCCTGGTTCTTTCGGTAAAGTCACGTAGGTAGAAAACAAAAAATAAACAGAATTAAAGATAAAAATAATAAATTAACATTTTAATAAAATTCGTAACAAGTAAAAATAATAAATTGAAAATAATAAATTGATGAAAAGATGCCATGGGTCGACTGACTGAGATGACTGGCCAATGCACCACCTGTGCCTCCCACTACACACACACAGTGTACACACACACAGTGTACACACACACAGTGTACACACACACAGAGTGGACACACACAGAGTGGACACACACACAGTGTACACACAGACACAGTGTATACACACACAGTGTACACAGAGTGGACACACACACAGTATACACACACACAGTGTACACACACAGAGTGTACACACACACAGTGTACACACACACAGACTGTTGGGGCAAGTGCTGTTAGCGAGCACCTAACACAAAGACAAAGATCTCCCGTGTAGCCTTGAACAGAATGTTGGGGCAAGTGCTGTTAGCACCCAACACAAAGACAAAGATCCCCCGTATAACCTGAGCAGACTGTTAGGGCAAGTGCTGTTAGTGAGCACCTAACACAGACCAAGATCCCCCGTGTAGCCTGAACAGAATGTTGGGGCAAGTGCTGTTAGCACCCAACACAAAGACAAAGATCCCCCGTGTAGCCTTGAACAGACTGTGAATAAAAAAATATTTAAAATATCACGAAGTCGTGATTTTTTTTATATATCACGAAGTCGTGATTTTTTTTATATATCACGAAGTCGTTTCACATATAAGCAAGGACAAAGGATCATGCAACTTAGTCTTGCAGAGGAGAGGGGTGATGTGTTGCTAGGTGCTGACCGACAGCGTCGCTGAAAGTTTCATTCTACATTTACCCTGATAGTTTAAGTCGCTTTGCAGAGTCAAGGATTTCGATGAGCGATAAGAGATGCGAGAAGCTAAGAGCCGCGCGAATACAATTGATGAGTTCTGAGAGTGAGTGAGGAGCTGCGAGCAGAATCGTGCGCCGCCCGGAGAGAAAGACAAAGGCGGTCGGGCGTGGTGCTGGCCACCCACCCCCTCGTGTGCCGTGCCGGTCTTCATAGGTGCTGCTCGCTAACAGCACTTGCCCCTACAGTCTGTTAAGGCTACACGGGGGATCTTTTGTCTTTTGTGTGTGTGACTGCCGCGCGCCAAAGCACTTGCTCGGATGATGCCAAAAACAAACACCCCACTCACCCACCCAACCAGCCGTGTATATATGTGTGTGTATATGTGTGTGTGTATACAGTGAGGGAAAAAAGTATTTGATGCCCTGCTGATTTTGTAGGTTTGCCCACTGACAAAGAAATGATCAGTCCATAATTTTAATGGTAGGTTTATTTGAACAGTGAGAGACAGAACCAAGTTCACTTTGTTGCGAGGAGTCTGCTTCAATACGCGCCTCCGAGAAAGCACACGCGCCCAAAGGCCAACGTGGGCTCCTCCACCACCACCACCACCACCAAACTATTTGATTTTGAAAACATTGTGAAGTTTGGGGAAGGCGTGTTTAACGCATCTTGAGTCGCGTCGTATTTCAGTGACGGAAGTTATTTTTGACCGATACGGGTCAAGGAATTCTAGATTTGAAGCTTTCGTGACTGCAAGGATCCATACTCTTTGGTTCTATTCGGTAAAGCCACGTAGGTCAAAAAATAAAACAACAAAAATCACGACGTTTCGGCCACAACACCACAAGCGGCCTTCATCAGGTGAAGGGACCTTTAAGCTTAAAGGTCCGCGGTCTGAGCGTGGCTGTTCCACTCCAGCGCTGTCCTCGAGACAGCCTGATCCCTTCACCTGATGAAGGCCGCTTGTGTCATGGCCGAAACGTCGTGATTTTTGTTGTTTTATTTTTTTACCTACGTGGTGACTTTACCAAATAGAACCAAAGAGTACGGGGGTCAAGGGGCCATCGGGTCCCCCCCGTACGCCGCACGCTCGATGCCACGGCTCCCCATGGTGGCTCGCGGCAGGGAGTGAGGCGCCCCAGGCTGACTCGACTCTCGTGTGCGTGACCGACACCCGGTCCTCCTCACTGACACGTTAGACCAGCTGACAGACGGACGAGTTTGTGTTTGATCACGTATGTCGACTCGAACAGAGATTCTGTTTCGTACGTGTTTTTTTAATCTACATTGATGCTAATAATAATGTATCTTTTTTTTTTACTTACATGTAAAAACCCGCCTCGATTACATTTTCAATTTCAAACAGCGCACGTATTGGTGTGTGCGTGTGTGTGTGTCTAATGTACTTATGCGGACACAGCGCCAATCGTACGGAATGACAGAGTAAAACCAGGAATTACAGTGCACAGCAGTGGCTCCTAACCCGGGGTGCACGGACTCCCTGTTGGGGGGGTTCGTTGGGCAGATTTCTTTTTCAGAAGGAAAAATAGAATCGAAAACACAAATTAAGCCGCGGGCACGTGTAAGTGGCAACTTGTCTCATCAAACTCTACGTATTTGTTAACAATTGTAAATATATATAAAACAAAAAATGTAACGATTGGATTCCTCCCGTGTATAAATAATCATCCTGATGAACGAATCTGATTCTCTTCTTTGGTTCTTTCGGTTAAAGTCACCACCACGTAGAATGAGAATAAAATAATAGAATTGATCAAATAAAATAACACAATAAAATTCTCACGACGTTTCGGCCACAACACAAGCGGCCTTCATCAGGTGAGCGTGGCTGTGTTCGCTCCAGCGCTGTCCTCCAGACAGTCTCGTCCCTTCACCTGATGAAGGCCGCTTATGTTGTGGCCGAAACATCGTGAGAATTTTATCGTGTTATTTTATTTTATCAATTTATTATTTTATTCTCATTCTACGTGGTGGTGACTTTACCGAGAGAACCAAAGAAGATGAATCCTTGCAGTCACGAAAGCTTTAAATCGGAATCTGATTCTGTGGGGCATGCGCCCGTCCGGAGGGCTCGCTGCGTCGTAAAGCGCTCGGTCCATCGCTGCCCTCTGCGTTTCCGCTTACCCGTGGTTTACAATAAAAATGTCCACCTTGACCGCATTGTAGACGTCAGCTGCGTAGACACGACATGGAAAGAAACCGACGTCCCAATGTCTAGGGCGAGATCCCGCTGTGTTTCGCGGAAACGTCTTCGTGTGATGCGGGGGGGCGGGGGGGGGGCTTGGTTTGTGCCGGTGGTCGAGCGGTCGGGCGGTGGGCGGTGCCCACCGCCTGACCGCGGAGGGGTTTCAATTTGAAGCTTTCGTGACTGCAAGGATTCATCTTCCTTGGTTCTTTCGGTAAAGTCACCACCACGTAGAATGAGAATAAAATAATAAATTGATCAAATAAAATAACACAATAAAATTCTCACGACGTTTCGGCCACAACACAAGCGGCCTTCTTCAGGTGAAAGGAACAAACCTGTCGGAACGACAGAGCTTCAATGAATGTGTCGTCCCGACAGGTCTGTTCCTTTCACCTGAAGAAGGCCACTTGTGTTGTGGCCGAAACGTCGTGAGAATTTTATTGTGTTATTTTATTTTATTATTTTATTCTCATTCTACGTGGTGGTGACTTTACCGAAAGAACCAAAGAACCACGGCGGGGTTGTGCGTCGTACGGTACCGCGGGCCGGTCCCCGCGCAAAGTGCCGTTGCAGCGGGCGGCCCCTCACACCAGCTCCAGCACCTGAGGACAAAGAGAGTGAGGTTGGTGGTGAAAGACGGCGATGACGACGATGATGACGATGATGACGATGATGATGGGTACAAGCAACGGACAAGCGAAGCGCGACTGGCGAGCGCCTATTGAGACCGCCACACCGTGGTGGTGGTGGCGATGTGGCCCCGGGGTACACCCCTGGCCTGCTTTTGTCTTCCCCAGTGCCGATGTTTTACACACCGCAGCAGTCAGTGATTTCAGCTCGGGCGAGCTCAAGGGGAGATTCCTTGAATCGGTTCAATATCACTCGTCCCCGATGTTGGCCGTGGCCGGAAATCGAACCGGGGCTCCTGCGGTTATTCAGAGCACAGCTACACCACCGCTACCCAAGTAACCACACTTACACACACAAGAAAATCCCACCCTTTAGTTATTGTAGCAGCAAGTGTTAACAAGCACCTATTAAATTTTGATTTAAAGCTTTCGTGACTGCAGTAATTCATATTCTTAGCTCTTTCGGTAAAGTCACGTTGAAGGTGACTTTACCGAAAGAGCTAAGAATAAGCACCGATTAAAGCCAACAAGACAAAAAATCAAAGGCAGATATGACCACTACGAAGATCGGAATGATTTCGTCTCCCCGATGCTGGTGTTCACGCACCACACGACATACTTATTTAAGGCGTAGCTTGACCTAGAAGGATGCCCGCTAACGTTTGATACATCGACTCGTCTGTGACGTGAGCCGTGGCAGGGAAGTGAACCTCTCTCAATGGGCTCACAGCACAATGCACACATCACCGCACCAACATTCCCCCACCATACACACACACACCTGGACGAGCGATCGCAATTGAGCAAACAAAAATAAAATCAGCGGGTCACTGCACATCTCATTATCAGCAACAGGCAATGAACAAAGTTCCCCACGAAGGTTATACCGAGTAACGATTCTACCATGCCAACACAACCAATCTTACAGATAGTGCATGGCGCATCGCCTTCCCTTCAAAAAAGCAATTGCAGTCAGTGCCACGGTACCCTTACCTTGATGGTTCCTTGATTGTTGGCTGCTACAAGTACATTGGAGTCCTGCAAGGGCGAGAATCACTTTAAGCAAAGCGATAGCAACGTCACGAATTCGAACTTTTCCACACTGATCCTGCCACACGACAGCGATGCAAACCAACGGTATACCTTTTTTATTTTCCGTACGAATAACGTTTAAAGGTGAAGGTGCAGTTTCGCAATTGCTAGCACGCGTGTGCACGTTTAACTTATTTCGCTCCGCACGTAGCCAGCCGTGCCACTGCTGACAAGGGGCCGCAACTAGCAATGTGCGGGCAGTCCCCTCTAGAGGATGCAATATTTGGGCCTACTCCTCCACACTGGCCAGATGTCTTTCGAAGAGCTGGGAACACCGACACACTTTCCCCCACCACGCCCACCGTGCCGATCGTACATCGACCGTGGCGCAGCCATTCGCGCCGTCGTGTGCGTGGACAGAGGAGGCGGTGGTTGAAATTCCAGATAGCTGCTGCCACGTCATTTCAAGCTGTCACGCCGGGAGATCCAACGTAACCGGTGAGCCGCTCATTTACAGCGCAGAGCAGCAGCAGCGGCAGCAGTAGCAACGTAAACCGCCATTGAATCTTAACCCCACGGGGACAGACGCGTCGGGCACCGAAATCGCGCCGGGAAGCAAGCCAACAATACGCAGCGGGCAGCATGGAGACTCGCAACACCAGCAGGTGGCTCAACGCCGCCCTTGGCACATTAAACGTTCAATGACGCGAGAAGTCTTCTGTCCACCCCGGACCCCCGCTACCACCACCCACTCCGTCCTCCTCGGCGGGACCGAGATTCGCCTCCTAAATATTCCCCGACCGTTGAGGTGAGCGTCGTCCTTCTCCGAGGTGGCGATGAAAGAACAACAGCAAAACAAAAACATTCTTAAATTTCCATTTGAAGCTTTCGTGACTGCAAGGATTCATCTTCTTTGGTTCTTTCGGTTAAAGTCACCACCACGTACAATGAGAATAAAATAATAAAATAAAATAACACAATAAAATTCTCACGACGTTTCGGCCACAACACAAGTGGCCTTATTCATATTCTTGTGTTGTGGCCGAAACGTCGTGATTTTTGTTGTTTTATTTTTTACCTACGTGGTGACTTTACCGAATAGAACCAAAGAGTGTGGATGCCGTTGTGCACGCGCCCGGGACAACACCGGGTTGCTTGAGGAATCTGAATATAGGAAGCCGTGAGGGTTCCACGCTTGCTCTTAAAAAAAGGCCCTCTTTGGTCGAGTGGATTTTGTGGGCGAGTAACCTTCGGCGAGTGGATTCCGCACCTTCAATTAGCACGGTTGGCCACGTACGGTACAAAAGAAGCTCAGCGTGCATACGTACGTACGTCTTGCGGGGGCGGGTGACCCCCGGGGGGGCCGAGGGGAATTTTGCGGCTGAGTAACTCCGAGGGAGCGAGCGAATCAGACGGGCGAGCATCCGCGTGTGAGGGAGCGAGCGAGTGAGCAAGCGTGAAGGGCGGCGGGCGACCGGCACGGGCCCGCGGACCAGGCTGCAGGGCGTGCGCTCACTCCGTCCGGCAGCAGCCGCCAGCACACGGCGCTCACAAACTCTCTCCCGTCCCCTTCACTCTCCATCCCCAGCGCGCCCTTCGCCACGTCGAACTTGAACGTGAGCGACACCTCGGAGAGGCCCTTGTAGTAGACGTACAGCGAGTTGTCCTCACTCCCTGCGTACGGAGAGGGCGGAGAGAGAGAGAGAGCGGAGCGACCGGCGGCACGGTCAGAAGGGGGGGGGGGGGGGGGACACGTGAGAGACCGGCGAAGCATCACCGGTTCAAAAACGAGCGATGCCATCATCCACCCCGCCGCCGCCGCCGCCCGCCTCCACCACGCGCACGCCACGCGCAACCGACGAGACGCGAGCCAAACGCGTGTCCCGGGAAATCATCCGCGCGCATCAATTAGCCGACGCTTTCCAGCAGGCGGCCGTTCGTCATCGCAAGCGTTCAAATTGGCAATTTTGTGGGCGATTTTTTTAAAAATTCGGTACATTTCGACCGCGCGCAAAGTGACCCAACCGCTGCTTTCCCCGACGATGACTCCAACACGCGAAGCGGACCACGGGAAACGCCGCCGTTGACACGACGGCCCCCCCCCCCTAGGGGGGTCGCCCCCCTGGAGGGGGGGCCCTCGCCCGGCTTCAAAGGCGACAAACCCCACGGCGAGCGCCACCACCGCTCGGCCCAAAAACAAAACAAAAAATAAAAATAAAGACAGAGGTAAATCGGGGGATTGTCACGATTGAAACATGGTCGCGCGCGCGTGTGTGTGTGTGTATCTGTGCACGCGATAAGCAGGGGGTGTGGGGGGGGCAGGCAAGGGTTGGGTGGGTGGGGGGGTGGGGGTCAGCGTGCGGAGGCTGCGCTCACCGCAAGCGACGTAGTCCCCGTTGGTGGCCAGCCCCCCAAAGGTCCTTTCGTTGACGTGGCCTCTGAAGGAGCGCGTGCAGCGGGGCTTGTTCACGCTCCACAGCTTCAGCTGGCCGTCTATCGAGCTGCCCCCGAACGAAACAACGCGAGCGAATGAGGCCCTCGATTTTGTAAGCGGACGCGGGCACCGGCGATTAAACAGGGCCAGTCTCGCAAGGGCGCACGCAGCAGCAGCAAAAGGCACGGCACAAGCTCAATTCGACGGCCTTTCGCGGTTTCTTGACTCCGCAGGTAAATACATTTTGAGAAAAGAAAATTCTTAGCGAACCATTTTAGATTTTTTCTTTCACAGAAATAAATAACTTTTTATATGCTTAGCTCTTTCTGTAAAGTCACGTTGAAGGTAAACAATAAAATAATAAAATATATATAAAACAATAAAAACTCTCACGACGTTTCGACCATAACACAAACGGTCATCATCAGGTGTGTTATGGTGTTATGGTCGAAACGTCGTGAGAATTTTTATTGTTTTATATATATTTTATTATTTTATTGTTTCCCTTCAACGTGGTGACTTTGCCGAAAGAGCTAAGAATATGAATTGCTGCAGTCACGAAAGCTCTAAATAAAAAAAATAACTTTTTATTCAAGCACAACTTTCATAACTGGCGAGCCGCGCGTGATTGGGTGGGCATTCCGAGTTGATCTGGCCCCCTGCCACTTTAAACGGCCGCGCCTTTCAATGGGCGCTACTCACGCAGAGACGATCTCCTCGCCGCTCACGAACTTGGCGTACGAGACGGCTCTCCGGTGGCCAACTCAGACAAAACAACTGAATTGCTACGTCACTTACAACCGAGTCTATAAAAGTTGCCCTTCAAAGGCCAGTTTGAGAGAAACTAAATTAAGTTCTTTGAACCAATGTCTTTCCAGACATCAGAGACGATTTCAAGGGCAATCAATGCAGCATTTACCAAGACGTTACACGGTGTCACTGAATGTCATCAATTTACGTACTAATGACAAATTTATGTTGTTAATATTTCTCGACAAACTTTGAATATCAGGGGGGGTGTAATGGTTAATCCCTCCTGCCCCCATACAGATTTGATTAATAATCCCAATCATTGCCATTCAAAAGCAGCTTTTTTTTTCCACGATGTGACAAATGCAACGGCTACTAGTGGCTGGGGTCGGTATTACATACAAGGCGCACACATCTAAACCCACTGGCTCCTACGCAAGCAGTTCAATGAATGCATCGCGAGCTCAAGAATCAACATTAAATCGGTGAATCATTACACACACGTACTAATTTGCCCTAATTACAGGTTCATATGTTTGTTACACATCAAATTGCAAAATGGCACTCTTCAGAGTCCTGAACATCCGATTATGATGTAGATGCTCACCCCGAGCCCTCATTACTTTGATAGTGGCATTGTCTTTGAGCTGTGTGACGCCTTTTGGCGTCATCTGGTCGAGCACTAATTGGTCGAGGCTCAAAAGAAAGCCGCCCCTTGGTGTGGACCAATCAGTTTGAAGGACAATGACACATATATTATCATAGTATGTTTTTTGTTTGCATTTTGACTGCAGGTATTGTGGTTAATGCAGTAGACATGAATCCTTGTAAAAAAGGTTTCAGTTTTGTTGCCAGAAAAAAGGGGAAAAACCACTATTATTATCCGATTACAAGGTTAAGATATTCCTGAATATAGAGAAGAAAAACATCGGTCGGGGGGGGTGGAAGAGACAGAGGGACATCATTACGAACCACATTCATGGAGATGATCCAAATATAGGACCACAACGCTTGGGGGCAATTGTTGCCGTGCATTCAGGCCGCCTTCCCTGCTTCTCTGTGGTTTCCCACACACCTCCGAATTATTCTCTCTCTCCGAGGGTAAACGGACGCGGGGAGACTTTATAAAATGTATTAATTCTTCCCCTCCTCATGATCAAAATGAAACGGGGGACACGAGGAGACGGGTCACCTGGACACGATGCTGGAGCCATTGTAGATGTCGCTGGTGTAGGAGAGCGTGGCGAGCGGGCGCACGGAGCTGTAGCGCGTGAACTTCGCCAGGCAGTCCTGGAACTCCTCCAGCTCTCCGCGCTTGTCCTCATCTGAGCCCCGACGGCACCGCAGAGACACGCACCGGCAGGGTTGAACGCAAAGCGGTCGGGTTTGTCAACGATTCAGACCCCCGCGAATTCACCCTCGCCACTTGCTCACCGGTGTTCCACAGACGCCTCCTTGTCACTGCCGCAGAACTTCGCTCATTGATTCACCCGCCCACGCCGAGGGCTCGGTCTACCAGGCGGGTTTGTGTCACCCATACTGTGTTCAACCACCACGATGCAGGTCACAAAACTTCTCCACAATATAGATTTTTTTGGGTGAGATTGCGATATTGTCTTCTTTGGTTCTTTCGGTAAAGTCACCACCACGTAGAATGAGAATAAAATAATAAAATAACATGATAAAATTCTCACGACGTTTTGGCCACAACGCGAGCGGCCATCTTCAGGTGAAAGGTACAGAACTGTCGGGACGACAGAGCTTCAATGAATTGCGTTATTTTATTATTTTATTCTCATTCTACGTGGTGGTGACTTTACCGAAAGAACCAAAGAAGATGAATCCTTGCAGTCACGAAAGCTTCAAATCGAAATTGCGATGTTGGTCGCGAAAGCCTACGTGGTAAACTCACAAAACGTATGTTTCTCTCCTCGCTACTGCTCGACTTTGGAATTCCCTACAATCGTCTCTTTCTCAAGCTCCTGCTCAAATCCAGACAAGTGTTAACTCTATCGCAACTCCGATAGTGCCGTCCGTTGCCAGTTTATTGACGTGTTGGGTCTTAGGCCTGTGGATCACTGCCACCGGCACGGCAGACGCGAATGCCTGGGTCTTCCCGGCCACGCCGTAAGAGCCCCATGACGTATTTTTGCATTGCACCTAACCCCAGTGATTACCCACCTCCGATTAGAACGTTTGGCTATGTACGGTGACAAATAAATTTAATATACATGCACACAAAGTCTGTGAAATATACAACTGCAATTACAGAACTGCGCTGAAAAGACTGCGCAAGTCAAGGCAAAATCCAGAGTCCGCCTGCTTCAACTAATGCTGCTGCTGCTGGCAGAAACTGGTCCAAAAGGCTCATGAGATTGTGGGGCTAAATTTGTTTTATTTCACTCGGTCAAACGAATCCTCGTCTTTACTTTTAGTATTCTCCACAAACGGCAAACTTTCTCGGAATAACGTTCAGCCTCCCCGGCGTCATTTCACACCATGGTACTGCAGTTCCCCGAAGGGCTTACGAACTTGCGTTGATAAGCAGGCACTGGCCGCGTCAATGCAGTCATTTCAGACTGGAGCAAGAGCAGAGCCCTCTGCTGGTGACTGGATGATATCGCCAGGCGCGGTTAAGACCCACCGCGGCAAAGTCATCGCGTTAATGCGCTGTGTTCACACTAACGCGTTTTTGCTTTAAATGCAAGTTATTCCATCAGGGAAGACTTTTTTGCGTAACGTTGCACCGTTAAAAAGGGGAACGCGCCCGTTAAAACGCGGAATGCGCACCACTATAACGCGGTTTCTGAGAGATCTACAATGGGCGACTTTCCTGAGCCGCGTGGCTGGGTGGTACAATGCAGTACGCGAAATAACACAATAGCGTGGCGGCGTACCCCGAGTGATTTGTCCCGCCGTCTGTGTATGCGTACATTGCATCCCACCAAACTTCATCATCGCGTTCTATTACGGCGATTTACGTTTTTTAAAAGGAACGCATCCACCGCGTCAAAGGAGGACTCGCTGTTCCACAGCACCGTTTCTTGTTCGTTGTCCTTCCCCCCCAGCACCTCCGATTAACGCGCAAGAAGTTCAACATACATAATGGACCTCGGAAAGGCGTAACACCTTTCCCCAGGTGCAACAACGGGCGGAACGGCGTTGGGGCCGGCCGCCACGCAGGGGGGATGTACCGACCCGGGGGCGACGACAGGCGGCGGGCAGAGTAGCACCGCTCCAGGCCGTCGAAATGCGCCGACAGTTTCCGCCTCCTTGCCGCCATTGAGTCAGTCCCGTGGCACAGCAACCGCTTCACCTGCAAGCCAGCACGGAGAGAGAGAGAGGAGAGAGACGTGCTCGCCATCGGCGGCGGGGGTGGCGGCGAGGGGGGAAGTCGTCCTCGTTGGGTATTTAACGTTCCAATAGCCGATGAACAAAATGGCCGGCGACACTCCCGGCCTTGTCAGATCTTAGAGAAGCCAAATAGAATAGTTCCTGGGCGGGAAGACCGGCCATGCACAACCGGTGTTCTAGGCCACAGCGCAGGGCCACCCCACACGGGGGGGGGGGGGGGGGGGGGGGGGTGTGGCCAGTACCATGCACGGCCGCCTTTGTCTCCCCAGTGGCGATGGTTACGCACTGAAACAAGTACTAGTCTGAGACTGAGTCGACCTAGGGGAGGGGACCGAGTGTTGGCCGTGAGCGGGAATCCAACTCGGGTAGGCCGGGTTTGCAGCGCAGGGCGCTAACCACTACGCTACAACAGTGCGCCTATTCTCACACATGTAATCCTTGCCTTCGACATGCGCCGTGGTCAAAAAACGTCCACGACGTATTGGGGGGGGGGGGGGGCTTTACCGCTCGTAAACATGACAAAACGAGCCGATAGAGCCGTACGTTACATATCACGACGTTACAACGAAGCTCAGGTGCCGGGTAAATCTCGCACGTGGGAGACGCTGGCATGCCGGCTCACCCGAGCGCTGTCCGTGAATGCAGGGAAGGGGTGATCCGAGTCCACCAGACAACCGCTGGAAAAAAAAAAGCACGCAAGCGCAACGTTGCAGCAACGTCAGAAGAAGTCCGCCCGCGTCAACTAACCGCACGAGAAAACGGCGTGGTTTCCCAGCGCGGGGTTTCGTACACCCAGGTTCTTGCGACCATTGCCATATTATCCGGATTATGAGGTGGACTTTTTCCCATGTCATTTAAAGGAAAGGAACGGGAGCAGGCGCGTCTTATCATCCGGAGAATGCGCCGTCTTTCAAAAAGATTTTAATTTATTTGTTAAACCGGTTGTTCAGGATAACCTTTCCCCCAGGACGTATTTGCGCAATTTAAAGGGGTGCGTTCATAAGTCACCTTCTGGAAGACGGTACTACTCCATAGGGATCTTCCGGAAGACGTGTTTTCTTATCGTTGTCGAGAACCACACTTCGAAAGACATCGATCCCCATTTTAAACCGTCTTTTTGGGGCTTTCCAAAGCAATCGCGCGCTCCCAATTCTAAGACATGCCAGGGCCACGGTTCACCAAAGCCAACGGTTGTTGTTCACCTGGTCGATGGGGTCTCTGGCAACTGGGGCACTTGGGGCACCACGGCTTCGTGCTGTTTCTGCATCAGCTCCTAGATGTGCACATTACGGTGGCGGGGGGATTGAATCGAGGGGCTAAGCATCATGGGGAAGAAAAAAAACTTGCCGACATACGATTTGACGTAGAAGCCACGCCGACACCATCGGAACACTTTACAAGCAACGTCTCGGTTCGCGATGCCTTCCAACCGAAGTTAAAATAATTTACGCAAGCGCTCTAGTCCGCCTGTAACAGGGAAGGCACTCGAACCACCCTGAAGATGATCCATTAACGATGCTATGACGCAAGTCAGGACACCGGACATGCACATTAATATCAATAAAGCAGCACGAGAAAAGAAAGGCAATAAAAAGCAAAACGTACTATTCTAAACTAACAAAATGGTCATCGCACATTTACCACGGCTGAATAGATTCTCACGCATCCTCAAAAACCCATGTGTTCAATGAAAACAAATTAACTTAACACGACGCACGAATAACGCGCATGTAACAAAAACTCTTAAATATCTGTCAAAAACCCTGCCTTGAAAGGAATGATATATGATAAGCAATGCTTCTGACAACGGCCCACCCTTCTTAATCGTCGAGACCAATGCAGAGAAGCCCCCTGCCCAAAATGTATCCTATTATATAAAGACAAAGATCCCCCGTACAGGCTATAACAGACTGTTGAGACAAGTGCTGTTAGCGAGCATCTACGAAGGTCGGTACGACACACGAGGGGGGTGCGTGGCCAACACCACACCCAGCCGCCTTTGTCTCCCCAGAGGCGATGTTCACGCACCGCACCAGGTACTCATTTGGAGGCTGAGTCGACCTAGGGGGAGGCCCAGGACTGGTTCAGATAATCGTCACTGGTGTCGGCCATGAGCGAGAATCGAATCCGGGTCGCCGGGTTCGTAGTACAGCCCGCTAACCGCTACACTGCCGCTCCCTACTATCCTATTAAATAAGGATCCCCCCATATAGCCTGAAACGCTGTTGTTAGCGAACGCCTACGAAGGCCGGCACGACACATGAGGAGGTGGGTGGCCAACACGTATCCTATTATTTATACACACACACACACGTCTAGGGCCACCGTCATTGACAAACGTGTTGAGCTTTCATTACACGTGCTGGTGGTGAACCACTGCAAAAAAAACGCAGTGGTTGCAATTTTTCACGTTTCATTTTGAAGTACTCAAGATGCAGCCTAGCTGCAATGTCGCCTACACAGGCATGGGCAGGCCCGTTCACCATCGGCGGTTGTTGCAGATGCAACCCGTGGCGAGATGTTGACTACCTCGCCTAGTATACAAGGAGGCTGTGGGTTCAATCCCGACCTATGACGTTCGTATATTTGGAGTTTGCGTGTCTCCCTCCCCGGGACAACAGCGGCCGTGCGGACTTTCCTCCGGGTCCTCCGGTTTTTCCTTCCACGTTTTAGAAGCGCGCGTTTCGCCGCTATAAGTGTTCACACGATAGCCCACTTCGTTGAGCTATCATTTGTGGCCAAGGTGGCTTTTCGAAAAAGAGCTATGCAGCTCAGTAGGCCTTACCTAGTAAAATAAAAAAAAGTTTGCTTTAGTTATCGCGAGGCTGGGGCTCTCGTGCTCATTTACACACGAGTGTGGAAAACTTCTTCTTTGGTTCTTTCGGTAAAGTCACCACCACCACGTAGAATGAGAACAAAATAATAATAAATTGATAAAATAAAATAAGACAATAAAATTCTCACGACGTTTCGGCCACAACGCAAGCGGCCTTCATCAGGTGAAAGGACGAGACTGTCTGGAGGACAATTGTTATGCTAATTCCTTTCACAAGGCACCTTAATTACTCTCACACAGCTTAAAGGTCGCGGTCTGAGCTTGGTTGTGTTTCTACTCCAGCGCTGTCCTCCAGACAGTCTCGTCCCTTCACCTGATGAAGGCAGCTTGTGCTGTGGCCGAAAACGTCGTGAGAATTTGATTGCGTTATTTTATTCTATTAATTTATTATTATTTTGTTCCCATTCTACGTGGTGGCGGTGACTTTACCGAAAGAACCAAAGAAGATGAATCCTTGCAGTCACGAAAGCTTTAAATCGGAGCGTGGGACGGCTTGCGCTCAGGGCCTATTTGCAACACGTGACCCCGCGCCCACGTCCGAGGTACAGTCCCGCACCTCGACGTGCCGCATATCGCCCTGCAGGACGCTCAGCTCCTTCGACAACTGATCCAGTTGCTGCGGGGAGGGAGGGAGAGAGAAAAAAAAACACAATCGGCCTTGGGCTGCATCACACGAAAACGGTTTGCTTGTGCGGCACCGGTAACCACAATCGCATTTGTGCAGAAGACGCAATGATAAATGCTTTGCAGTTGTCGTTATATTGTAACAGATGCCAATCACGCGTTTATTTAACAATCAACAATACGGTGAGTGAATACGTACAACAGGGTAAATGCAAATGCAATCAGGACTCTATTCTGTGCCTACACAAACCAATATCACGTCATCCACCAGCCCGCCTGGCTTTGCAGGCGAATATTATTCAGTCAGGCCTGTCAAACAAATGACTGAAAGATTACCAGAGGACAATATAAATGTGTCGTGACATACGACGTCACTACTGTCGGGACCGTACGAGCGTAGGGACATGTGATGTCACTACTGTGTAGGGACTGTACGAGCGTAGCGACATGTGATGTCACTACCGTGTTGGGACTGTACGAGCGTAGGGACTTGTGATGTCACTACCGTGTAGGGACTGTACGAGCGTAGGGACATGTGATGTCACTACCGTGTAGGGACCGTACGAGCGTAGGGACATGTGATGTCACTACCGTGTAGGGACTGTACGAGCGTAGGGACATGTGATGTCACTACTGTGTAGGGACTGTACGAGCGTAGGGACATGTGATGTCACTACTGTGTAGGGACCGTACGAGCGTAGGGACATATGATGTCACTACTGTGTAGGGACTGTACGAGCGTAGGGACACATGATGTCACTACTGTGTTGGGACCGTACGAGCGTAGGGACATATGATGTCACTACTGTGTAGGGACCGTACGAGCGTAGGGACACATGACGTCACTACCGTGTTGGCTCGGTATGGGTGCTGTAGGCGGGTGTCACGGAGGTCGTGTCAGCCCGTGGACACTCTGCGTGAAACCAACAAGGACACGTGACCGGACAAAGGGGGTGGGGCTAGGGGCCCCAGGGGGGAAGCTTGGGGGCGTGGCCTGGGGCGGAGCCACGGCAGTTACAATCGGGGGGGGGGGGGGGGGGGGGGGGGGGTGTGAACAGAGAGCTGGGCCGTTCAACCCCGGGACGAAGACGCCGTCAGCGGTCCTCGAGTCTCCGATCGTCGTTCGTGACCAGGCAGCCCGTCACCTGCCCTGGTCACGCTGTGTAGTACTCGCCCCGAGTGTTAGCGAGATTAGGAACGGTGGTCACCACCCTGTACTTAATGTTCACGTTGGTTGTTATGCGTTAATAGATAGTGTTGCCTCCAAGTTGAGTGTGCGCCTCAATTGAACCCACTACAAACGTGAGTGGTAGTCAATGAGAACACCTCTCATGGCCACAAGGTGCGGGGGGGGGGACAGTCTCGAAACTATAAATGCAAAGACATTTTTAAAAAAGTACTGTTGGTAGTACAGCACAAATATATATGGAGATAAAAAAACGTACCTCCATTATTAACACCGCCTTTGACCAAAGCATTTTGAATGCATCGAATGTTATCGAGATCTTAGAAGCTAAGTGGCGTTAAGCTTGCTAAATATGCATATCAGAATCAGAATATGCGTTTACACTGGAGGAATCCGATGAGGTATTAAGCTCTTTTTCACAGATGTCCAGTAGGGTGCGGGTGAAAACGTTACAACAAAGAACACGATAGGAGTGTACAGTAGAGGCTTGGGCTGCAAGGCTGTCAGTACAAAAATTAATTATTGAACCCACCACGATCAGTTCATCAGCTTTTATACCAGGATCGCAATAAAAACGCTTCAGAGGAAATACACATTCCATTAACTCTGTGTTTGTGCGAAACGCCAAACACGCCATGCAGTGTGGCGGAGCTTGTGATGTTGTGGAACGGCGAGTGGTGAGATGAGACAACGCACCGCCTGCTTGCCGCGCTGAACCTGCTGCAGGAATTCAATCAGCAGCTGGTGTTGTGCCACTGTAGACTCCTGGAAAAGTAAAAAAAAAAGCAAAGCGCATGACAAGGTCAAATAAAATACTTTGCATCTTCACTTAAGACGTAGACGTTGTAAAATAATGCAGGGTCCTTTGTTAATACACTGACGAATAAAGTCTTCCCCACGCTGTGCCGGTCACGGGGATTGTTTGGCCATATTTCATCATGCTGCGTCAGTGTGGGTTGCTGAAGGGATGGAGCCCGGACACGGTTCAGAATTAGCTCACCGCCGATGTTAGCCACGACTGGGAACGAAACACAGGTTGCTGGGTTCATAGCGCAGTGCGCGTAAACCAATACACCGCGCTACGTGTATAAATACAATGGTGCGTCTCTAGGCGTAGATTAGACCTCTGAATTACACTCGCAGGCACGATGGCAGTGCCTTTGGATGCTGCTCAACTCTATCGCAATGTGATAAAAAATATATTTATCCATTGTAGGACTAAACAATTAAGATTGCAACACAGGGTCCTTCTATCATGGTGATTTGCGGAATCTTCCAGCCATCCATGCCCACCACTCTTGTAGAGCATCTTTAGATGTGGTCACACACAGGCGCTTTATAAATCCTAATTGGATTGTACCAACTTGCCGCCTTTATGTAATCATGCATAGGCCCAGCTCTGTAACTACAACAACATTCGATTTCAAAGGCAATTTCGGGATCAAGATTGTGCAAAGCACTTAACAAATTCACGCGTAATGCACCGTTAAGACAAAACACAACGTATTTAAATGACTGCCGAGAATTGGTCAGTTCTTACCTAGGGTGTGGGAGAATTCCACACATTCCATCACCCTTCGTCCGCACCGGGTGGGAGAGAATTCTCTCCCTAGGGTGGGAGAGAATTCCACACATTCCATCACCCTTCGTCCACATCGGGTGGGAGAAAATTCTCTCCCTAGGGTGGGAGAGAATTCCACACATTCCATCACCCTTCGTCCACACTGGGTGGGAGAGAATTCTCTCCCTAGGGTGGGAGAGAATTCCACACATTCCATCACCCTTCGTACACATCGGGTGGGAGAGAATTATCTCCCTAGGGTGGGAGAGAATTATCTCCCTAGGGTGGGAGAGAATTCCACACATTCCATCACCCTTCGTACACATCGGGTGGGAGGGAATTCTCTCCCTAGGGTGGGAGAGAATTCCACACATTCCATCACCCTTCGTCCATATGGGTGCCGTGCAATCGCACGCTGCGTTTGTACGTGCGCGCATGGGGCACCGTCGCTACTTGTCGCGAGCAACTTACGTCAGCGTGCGGATGCAAGGCAAGCGATTGCCCCGTGAGCGGAAGCTCGTGGCAGAAGCTGTGGCCGCACATGCGAACGCCTCTGCGGAACGGAACTATACCGGCGCCCTATCGCTGCGGAATTATCGCAGCGATGTCGCACCGCCTGACAACAACCGACCTCTCCGGCACCACATTCCTCCCCGACACCACACCATCGCAAATGCCACCGTGCCGCGTTCCCGTTGCCGCCGGTGGCCAAACCTGTGCAAACGCCACCAGCATTCCTCCAGGGGGCCAACAACTCACCGCTTCCAGCCGCATCTTCTTCTCCGTGAGCAGCTCCAGAATGCGGTTCACGTCGGCGAGCTCCAGGCCATCTTGTTCCAGCGCCAGCAACTCCTGGATAGGGTGCCACTGCTGGCCGCTCTGTGAGGAAGAGGGGGGGGGGGGTGGCAGGGTGGAAGGGTGGAAGGGTCACACAACACGGGAATCAAGAGACGCGGCCGGTCACCTTCTTTCAGCAGAGTCCACGCGTGTCCACGTCGAGGCAGGTGCAGCTAGCGACGACACCGACAGGCCCTAGCGCACAGCGCGTCTTCGGTCAGCAAACTCCAACCGTGGACCACGTAGAGGAACTATTTCAAAAATGTTATATTTTCGGTTTACCAGGCAAGGTCCACTGAGCTATATACCTCTCTTTCAGTACCGATCTGGCCACAAATGAAGGATCAATGAAGTGGCTTACGTGGAAATTTACAAAAGCCAAATTCTCGTATAAAGTATATGAACCACTGCTTGCCACGTCGATCATTCGCTGTGGGATTCAGATATTCTCCAGGCGACTTGTGAAGCCGTCCACTGGCTCACCATCTAAGGAGCACCGGTGGTCGATACACAGCACAAAGATGTTAAAGGAGGGATCTAATGGGTGTGCATGTCGAACTTCTTTCACGCCGTACGTAGCCAACCGTGCTAAAATCGGGAGGTGCGGGGGAAGGACAACGAACTAAACACAACAAGCGGTTCTGAAGTAGTGAGCGTGGCGGTTAGTGGTCACTTTTCTGCGTGGCGTTTATATGTTCACCCCGTGTTCTGCACGGGCTTCCTCCAGGATCTCCAGTTTCCTCCAACCGCTAATAAACCGTACAGTGGAACCGGCATTGGCCGAACATCCAAACGTTGAAACATTTCCCGCAAATTAATATTGCACGCAGCAAACCCTGAGGCCCGCGTGACTACAAACAAATTAATATTACACGCAGCAGACCCTGAGACCCGGGTGACTACTAACAAATTAATATTACACGCAGCAGACCCTGAGACCCGTGACTACAAACAAATTAATATTACACGCAGCAGACCCTGAGACCCACGTGAATACTAACAAATTAATATTACACGCAGCAGACCCTGAGACCCGTGACTACAAACAAATTAATATTACACGCAGCAGACCCTGAGACCCACGTGACTACAAACAAATTAATATTACACGCAGCAGACCCTGAGACCCGTGACTACAAACAAATGAATATTACACGCAGCAAACCCTGAGACCCGTGACTACAAACAAATGAATATTACACGCAGCAAACCCTGAGACCCGTGACTACAAACAAATTAATATTACACGCAGCAGACCCTGAGACCCGTGACTACAAACAAATTAATATTACACGCAGCAGACCCTGAGACCCGTGACTACAAACAAATCAATATTACACGCAGCAAACCCTGAGACCCGTGACTACAAACAAATTCATATTACACGCAGCAGACCCTGAGACCCGCGTGACTACAAACAAATTAATATTACATGCAGCAGACCCTGAGACCCGCCACTACAAACAAATTAATATTACACGCAGCAAACCCTGAGACCCGCGTGAATACAAACAAATTAATATTACACGCAGCAGACCCTGAGACCCGCCACTACAAACAAATTAATATTACACGCAGCAAACCCTGAGACCCGTGTGACTACAAACAAATTAATATTACACGCAGCAGACCCTGAGACACGAGTGACTACAAACAAATTAATATTACACACAGCAGACCCTGAGACCCGTGACTACAAACAAATTAATAATAGACGCAGCAGACCCTGAGACCCGCGTGACTACAAACAAATTAATATTACACGCAGCAGACCCTGAGACCCGCGTGACTACAAACAAATTAATATTACACGCAGCAGTCCCTGAGACCCGCGTGACTACAAACAAATTAATATTACACGCAGCAGACCCTGAGACCCGCCAATACAAACAAATTAATATTACACGCAGCAAACCCTGAGACCCGTGACTACAAACAAATTAATATTACACGCAGCCAACCCTGAGACCCGTGTGACTACAAACAAATTAATATTACACGCAGCCAACCCTGAGACCCGTGTGACTACAAACAAATTAATATTACACGCAGCAAACTCTGACACCTGTGACTACAAACAAATTAATATTACACGCAGCCAACCCTGAGACCCGCCACTACAAACAAATTAATATTACACGCAGCAGACCCTGAGACCCGTGACTACAAACAAATTAATATTACACACAGCAAACCCTGAGCCGGCGACTACAAACAAATTAATATTACATGCAGCAGACCCTGAGACCGTGACTACAAACAAATTAATATTACACGCAGCAAACCCTGAGACCCGTGACTACAAACAAATTAATATTACACGCAGCAAACCCTGAGACCCGCCACTACAAGCAAATTAATATTACACGCAGCAGACCCTGAGACCCATGACTGCAAACAAATTAATATTACACGCAGCAGACCCTGAGACCCGCGTGACTACAAACAAATTAATATTACACGCAGCAAATCCTGAGACCCGCCACTACAAACAAATTAATATTACACGCAGCCAACCCTGAGACCCGTGACTACAAACAAATTAATATTACACGCAGCAAACTCTGAGACCCGTGACTACAAACAAATTAATATTACACGCAGCAGACCCTGAGACCGGTGACTACAAACAAATTAATATTACACACAGCAAACCCTGAGCTGGCGACTACAAACAAATTAATATTACACGCAGCAAACCCTGATACCCGTGACTACAAACAAATTAATATTACACACAGCAAACCCTGAGACCCGCCACTAAAAACAAATTAATATTACACGCAGCCAACCCTGAGACCCGTGACTACAAACAAATTAATATTACACGCAGCAGACCCTGAGACCCACGTGACTACAAACAAATTAATATTACATGCAGCAGACCCTGAGACCCGTGACTACAAACAAATTAATATTACACGCAGCAAACCCTGAGACCCGTGACTACAAACAAATTAATATTACACGCAGCAGATCCTGAGACCCATGACTACAAACAAATTAATATTACACGCAGCAGACCCTGAGACCCGTGACTACAAACAAATTAATATTACACGCAGCAGACCCTGAGACGCGCGTGACTACAAACAAATTAATATTACATGCAGCAGACCCTGAGATCCGCCACTACAAACAAATTAATATTACACGCAGCAAACCCTGAGACCTGCGTGAATACAAACAAATTAATATTACACGCAGCAGACCCTGAGACCCGTGTGACTACAAACAAATGAATATTACACACAGCAGACCCTGAGACCCGTGACTACAAACAAATCAATAATACACGCAGCAGACCCTGAGACGCGCGTGACTACAAACAAATTAATATTACACGCAGCAAACCCTGAGACCCGCCACTACAAACAAATAAATATTACACGCAGCAGACCCTCAGACCCGTGACTACAAACAAATTAATATTACACGGAGCAGACCCTGGGACCCGTGACTGCAAACAAATTAATATTACACGCAGCAGACCATGAGACCCGCGTGACTACAAACAAATTAATATTACACGCAGCAGACCCTGAGACCCGCGTGACTACAAACAAATTAATATTACACGCAGCAGACCCTGAGACCCGCCACTACAAATAAATTAATATTACACGCAGCAAACCCTGAGACCCGCGTGAATACAAACAAATTAATATTACACGCAGCAGACCCTGAGACCCGCGTGACTACAAACAAATTAATATTACACACAGCAGACCCTGAGACCCGTGACTACAAACAAATCAATAATACACGCAGCAGACCCTGAGACCCGCGTGACTACGAACAAATTAATATTACACGCAGCAAACCCTGAGACCCGCCACTACAAACAAATAAATATTACATGCAGCAGACCCTCAGACCCGTGACTACAAACAAATTAATATTACACGCAGAAGACCCTGGGACCCGTGACTGCAAACAAATTAATATTACACGCAGCAGACCCTGAGACCCGCGTGACTACAAACAAATTAATATTACACGCAGCAGACCCTGAGACCCGCGTGACTACAAACAAATTAATATTACACGCAGCAGACCCTGAGACCCGCCAATACAAACAAATTCATATTACACGCAGCAAACCCTGAGACCCGTGACTACAAACAAATTAATATTACACGCAGCCAACCCTGAGACCCGTGTGACTACAAACAAATTAATATTACACGCAGCCAACCCTGAGACCCGTGTGACTACAAACAAATTAATATTACACGCAGCAAACTCTGAGACCCGTGACTACAAACAAATTAATATTACACGCAGCCAACCCTGAGAACCGCCACTACAAACAAATTAATATTACACGCAGCAGACCCTGAGACCCGTGACTACAAACAAATTAATATTACACACAGCAAACCCTGAGCCGGCGACTACAAACAAATTAATATTACACGCAACAGACCCTGAGACCGTGACTACAAACAAATTAATATTACACGCAGCAAACCCTGAGACCCGTGACTACAAACAAATTAATATTACACGTAGCAAACCCTGAGACCCGCCACTACAAACAAATTAATATTACACGCAGCAGACCCTGAGACCCATGACTGCAAACAAATTAATATTACACGCAGCAGACCCTGAGACCCGCGTGACTACAAACAAATTAATATTACACGCAGCCAACCCTGAGACCCGCGTCACTACAAACAAATTAATATTACACGCAGCCAACCCTGAGACCCGCCACTACAAACAAATTAATATTACACGCAGCAGACCCTGAGACCCGTGACTACAAACAAATTAATATTACACGCAGCAAACCCTGAGACCCGTGACTACAAACAAATTAATATTACACGCAGCAAACCCTGAGACCCGCCACTACAAACATATTAATATTACACGCAGCCAACCCTGAGACCCGTGACTACAAACAAATTAATATTACACGCAGCAAACCCTGAGACCCGCCACTACAAACAAATTAATATTACACGCAGCAAACCCTGAGACCCGTGACTACAAACAAATTAATATTACACACAGCAGACCCTGAGGCACGTGCCTACAATCAAATTAATATTACACGCAGCAAACCCTGAGGCACGTGACTACAAACAAATTAATATTACACGCAGCCAACCCTGAGACCCGCCACTACAAACAAATGAATATTACACGCAGCAAACCATGAGACCCGTGACTACAAACAAATGAATATTACACGCAGCCAACCCTGAGACCCGTGACTACAAACAAATTAATATTACACGCAGCAGACCCTGAGACCCGTGACTACAAACAAATTAATATTACACGCAGCAGACCCTGAGCCGGCGACTACAAACAAATTAATATTACACGCAGCAGACCCTGAGACCCGCATGACTACAAACAAATTAATATTACACGCAGCCAACCCTGAGACTCGCGTGACTACAAACAAATGAATATTACACAGAGCAAACCCTGAGACCCGCCACAACAAACCAATTAATATTACACACAGCCAACCCTGAAACCCGCCACTACAAACAAATTAATATTACATGCAGCAGACCCTGAGACCCGTGACTACAAACAAATTAATATTACACACAGCCAACCCTGAAACCCGCCACTGCAAACAAATTAATATTACACGCAGCAAACCCTGAGACCCGTGACTACAAACAAATTAATATTACACACAGCAGACCCTGAGGCACGTGACTACAAACAAATTAATATTACACGCAGCAAACCCTGAGGCACGTGACTACAAACAAATTAATATTACACGCAGCAGACCCTGAGACCCGCCACTAAAAACAAATGAATATTACACGCAGCAAACCCTGAGACCCGTGACTACAAACAAATGAATATTACACGCAGCAAACCCTGAGACCCGTGACTACAAATAAATTAATATCACACGCAGCCAACCCTGAGACCCGTGACTACAAACAAATTAATATTACACGCAGCCAACCCTGAGACCTGCGTGACCGCAAACAAATTAATATTACACGCAGCAGACCCTGAGACCCGCCACTACAAACAAATTAATATTACACGCAGCAGACCCTGAGACCCGTGACTACAAACAAATTAATATTACATGCAGCAGACCCTGAGACCCACGTGACTACAAACAAATTAATATTACACGCAGCAGACCCTGAGACCCGCCACTACAAACAAATTAATATTACACGCAGCAAACCCTGAGACCCGTGACTACAAACAAATTAATATTACATGCAGCAAACCCTGAGACCCGTGACTACAAACAAATTAATATTACACACAGCAGACCCTGAGGCACGTGCCTACAAACAAATTAATATTACACGCAGCAAACCCTGAGGCACGTGACTACAAACAAATTAATATTACACGCAGCAGACCCTGAGACCCGCCACTACAAACAAATGAATATTACACGCAGCAAACCCTGAGACCCGTGACTACAAATAAATTAATATCACACGCAGCCAACCCTGAGACCCGTGACTACAAACAAATTAATATTACACGCAGCCAACCCTGAGACCCGCGTGACTACAAACAAATTAATATTACACGCAGCCAACCCTGAGACCCGCCACTACAAACAAATTAATATTACACGCAGCAGACCCTGAGACCCGTGACTACAAACAAATTAATATTACACGCAGCAAACCCTGAGACCCGTGACTACAAACAAATTAATATTACACGCAGCAAACCCTGAGACCCACCACTACAAACAAATTAATATTACACGCAGCCAACCCTGAGACCCGTGACTACAAACAAATTAATATTACACGCAGCAAACCCTGAGACCCGCCACTACAAACAAATTAATATTACACGCAGCAAACCCTGAGACCCGTGACTACAAACAAATTAATATTACACACAGCAGACCCTGAGGCACGTGCCTACAAACAAATTAATATTACATGCAGCAAACCCTGAGGCACGTGACTACAAACAAATTAATATTACACGCAGCAGACCCTGAGACCCGCCACTACAAACAAATGAATATTACATGCAGCAAACCATGGGACCCGTGACTACAAACAAATGAATATTACACGCAGCAAACCCTGAGACCCGTGACTACAAATAAATTAATATCACACGCAGCCAACCCTGAGACCGGTGACTACAAACAAATTAATATTACACGCAGCCAACCCTGAGACCCGCCACTACAAACAAATTAATATTACACGCAGCAGACCCTGAGACGCACGTGACTACAAACAAATTAATATTACACGCAGCAAACCCTGAGACCCGTGACTACAAATAAATGAATATTACACGCAGCAAACCCTGAGACCCGTGACTACAAATAAATTAATATCACACGCAGCCAACCCTGAGACCCGTGACTACAAACAAATTAATATTACACGCAGCCAACCCTGAGACCCGCGTGACTACAAACAAATTAATATTACACGCAGCCAACCCTGAGACCCGCCACTACAAACAAATTAATATTACACGCAGCAGACCCTGAGACCCGTGACTACAAACAAATTAATATTACACGCAGCAAACCCTGAGACCCGTGACTACAAACAAATTAATATTACACGCAGCAAACCCTGAGACCCGCCACTACAAACAAATTAATATTACATGCAGCCAACCCTGAGACCCGTGACTACAAACAAATTAATATTACACGCAGCAAACCCTGAGACCCGCCACTACAAACAAATTAATATTACACGCAGCAAACCCTGAGACCCGTGACTACAAACAAATTAATATTACACACAGCAGACCCTGAGGCACGTGCCTACAAACAAATTAATATTACATGCAGCAAACCCTGAGGCACGTGACTACAAACAAATTAATATTACACGCAGCAGACCCTGAGACCCACCACTACAAACAAATGAATATTACATGCAGCAAACCATGGGACCCGTGACTACAAACAAATGAATATTACACGCAGCAAACCCTGAGACCCGTGACTACAAATAAATTAATATCACACGCAGCCAACCCTGAGACCGGTGACTACAAACAAATTAATATTACACGCAGCCAACCCTGAGACCCGCCACTACAAACAAATTAATATTACACGCAGCAGACCCTGAGACGCACGTGACTACAAACAAATTAATATTACACGCAGCAAACCCTGAGACCCGTGACTACAAACAAATTAATATTACACGCAGCAGACCCTGACACCCGTGACTACAAACAAATTAATATTACACGCAGCCAACCCTGAGACCCGTGTGACTACAAACAAATTAATATTACACGCAGCCAACCCTGAGACCCGCCACTACAAACAAATTAATATTACACGCAGCAGACCCTGAGACCCGTGACTACAAACAAATTAATATTACACGCAGCCAACCCTGAAACTCGCCACTACAAACAAATTCATATTACACGCAGCAAACCCTGAGACCCGTGACTACAAACAAATTAATATTACACGCAGCAAACCCTGAGACCCGTGACTACAAACAAATTAATATTACACGCAGCAGACCCTGAGACCCGTGACTACAAACAAATTAATATTACACGCAGCAGACCCTGAGACCCGCCACTACAAACAAAAAGACTTGTTGGGACCCTCCTGGAAAAAAATGTGTGACTCGGTCAAGCTTTCACGGATAAGCAAGTTGCAATAATAATAATAAAATAACCGTCTAGGACAGGGGTCACCAAACTACGGCCCGCGGGCCGGATTCAGCCCGCGACGTCAGTCCATCAGGCCCGCCGACGGTACTTGAATCTGGTTGAAAAAACGTACGGATACAATTTAAATATTATGTTTAGAATACTGGAAGATCTTCACGCGTGCGGAGACCTCCTTACTGCTATGTGCCTTAAATGTACTATATTAAATTGTAAATTATTGTATCTAGATGTTCTTGTTTATTGTAACGTTTGCTTATTTCGCGCCATCCCAAGTGGTAGCTCCGCCTACGCTCTGACGTTACCGTGGTTTCCATGGCAACGTCATGGCAACACGTTACCATGGTTTCCATGGCAACACGTTACCATGGTTTCCATGGCAACACACACACAAACACGCATCTTTCCCGCCCCCCAAGTATTGAACGGAATGTTTATGCGGCCCGCGATCGTCATTCTATCAGTTATCCGGCCCGCTGTGAAAAAAGTTTGGTGACCCCTGGTCTAGGACAAAGGGCTGCACTTATTCTGTGAGAGTTCCGATCAGATTAGTTGTCCCAAGGACATCCTGCCCATTGCACAGAATAAAACTTGGGGATAATTTAATTTAAAGTTAATGCAACAAAATGTGCCGGTTATGTTTTTTCCCTGCACATCTCCGGCCAAGGCAAGACGTGCACGTGGGACACTTACCGGTTGTTCCATCTTAATTCTCTTCTCCTTAAGCCGCTGACGCTGCTTCAGGATCAGCTCATTCACTGCGGACAAAACGCGCGTGGAACAAAAAGCCGTTAAATATTCAATGATGCGAGCATCTTTCTTTCGGTAAAGTCACGTTGAAAGGAAACAATAAAATAATAAAATATATATAACAATATAAATTCTCACGACGTTTCGACCATAACACAAACGGTTGTCATCAGGTGTGTCATGCAAACCGACACACCTGATGACGGCCGTTTGTGTTATGGTCGAAACGTCGTGAGAATTTTTATTGTTTAATATATATTTTATTATTTTATTGTTTCCCTTCAACGTGACTTTACCGAAAGAGCTAAGAATATGAATAACTGCAGTCACGAAAGCTTTAAATCAAAATTTAATGCGAGCATCGTTAATTGAAGGCGTGTGTTGCATTGTGGTGAAACAAATATATGCAACAAAAATGCAGGTGGAAGGAAGATAAGTGAAAACAACTCACAGAGGAAGTTGGGAAATATGTGGGTTGGATGCTCAATGAGGTATCTGCAATTTGGGCAACGATTCGTCTCCTCCAGACTCCGACGGATGCATTTGCCACTGAAACAGACAAAATGCAACGGCGAGGAAATTGGCAATCATCGTTATTAGCATTTTCGGAAAGTTTACCAATCACCGAATATTGTCGTGCATTCATCAGACGGCGGAGCAAAAAATGGAACGCAATAACAAACTACTTCAGCATCCGCATTGCGTTAGCTCTGACCGGGCGAGACTCTGGCACAAAAGCCAAATTAAAGGGGCTGCAGTGCGTTCTATTCGGCTTGAACAAAAAAAACAAGTTTCCCGGCAATTATCGGACGTGCGAAACGCAAACCGTGCCGCGCCACTCGAAGCCAGCACAACCGCAATTGTTGGCAGGCAACACGGGGAAGGAGCGTGGGAAGCAGTGGTTAGGCAACTATGCGGTGAACCCGGCAGCCCGAGTTGGATTCTAGGCCACGGCTAACATCAGTGGCACGTCATATCCAAACCGGTCCTGGGGACCTGAGAACTAACTTCAATAAGCACTCTGACCGGAGTGGCAACGTACAGTAAAACAAACCCCCCACGACCGACAACACATGGCGAGGCCTCCATCCAGCAGTGAATTGAAAAGGGCTGTGAATTCGTGAGTTTTAATAGGAGGTGGTTTTCCTGCAAACCCTATCTGCTTTCTCCCAACAAAACTGGAAAAAAATACGTCGGGCATTGAGGTCACCGAATACTGGGGCTCTTTTAAAAATGGGAGTAAAAAAAAGCATCTGGCTTCGATGTGTATGGCTTACGTATTCAATTGCCTATGATGTAGCCTGCAAAAATGCCACAGCTGTCAATTCATTAACGTAAAAATTACAATTTTTAAAAGTGGACGTTACTACGATCACGCGAATGCTAAGTGTTTAAAGGTGCCTGCCTGCAAACCAAGCAAAGTTCAATATTAAATAACAATGCGCCGAGGAATCATGATACATCGCTATACATTCCTCTTGAAATGTAGAGAACTATGCACACATAACTACATTCTGTTTCCACACGTGTATATATTCTATATGCCCACTGGCTTTCCAGACGCATGTTCAACCAACTATGGACCAGTTTACACGTTTGAGGTCTCATCAGCAGTTAGGGCTTGCAAGGCAAATGTTGCTGGGTTGTCATATGTGGCAAATGCACTCCATCTAAATAATGGGGTCCATTCCAAATAAAATGAGTGTGTGTGTGTGTGTACTACTGCTCAGCAAGAAGTAAACTTTGAAGTACTTTGAAAAGAAAGCTTATCAGTAAGAGTTAACGGGCACAATTTCAGCAAAGGCATTTTAGGACTCAGACTTTTGCTATAAACATAGAAATAAAACACCCAGGGTAGTTCCTTATTAACAGAACGCTTGGCTTCATCTTATAATGCACTGATAACGCTGCATTTTCGTAAACAAACTCACAACGGTGTTCGCAAGGCTTGATTAATCATTAATTACACTGAAAATTGTGAGCCGCTCTATTTTGCAGTGGACACCAAAGCAACATCACTTTGCACATTTACGACACGTGCACTTAATCTTGTACACACCAGCTGTTGATAGCTTCGGTAAATACATCTTTTGTAGCAGAAATAAATTTCTGTATTTTATGTACCGTGCCAAATCTGACTCGGATGTTTTGTTTTTCCAAACATCTGGCTAGTTTATCAGTTACTCCCGCAATGTGCGGTATTTTAATCGTTTTCATTACTTGGTGCAGTTTCAATAGCAAGAGCATTGAAAGAGATGTATTACCGAAGCTATCCAAAGAAGGTGTGTACAGGATTAACTGCACGTGTGGTAAATGTTATGTTAGGCAAACAGGACGAATGATCAGCACAAGACTAAAAGAACATCAGAGGAATATTAAATTCTCCCAAATGCAACTGTCAGCAGTAGCAGAACACGCCTGCCAATAATATTGAAGTGTTGTGCAAAACGAGCGACTACTGGCCAAGACTAATTAGAGAATCTATCGAAATTGAAAGAAATCAAAATAACTTTAACCGTTGTGATAGCTACCGCCTGAGTGCTGCGTGGAAGCGAATCATCAAATAATACATTAGTTAAATGCATGCCTACAAAGGGCAGCGTACTCCAATAGGGATTACCGTTGGTAATAAACACAATGGACAGGAAGGACTGGTTCAAAGGGCCTGCATAATGCACATGCATCATGTACGTTGCCTCAGTGATCCCCCCTCCCCCATCATTGTGCAAGAGCGCAGAAGCGTGGTCACCACATCTACGCCTCTATATAAGGTAACGAGACAGTAAGACTTCTCCACAAATCTGTCTGTCGCCTGATGAAGCTAGTTGTGATTACTGGCGAAACGTCGTACTCAGATTGTTAATGTTGTGGCTTGGCTATCCAACACACCGGTGTGCTGTACTAGTATACTACATTATACACTACACTATACACTACACTATACACTACACTATACACTACACTACACACTACACTATACACTACTACACACTACACTATACACTACACTATACACTACACTATACACTACACTACACACTACACTATACACTACACTACACACTACACTACTACACACTACACTATACACTACACTATACACTACTATACACTACACTATACACTACACTATACACTACACTATACACTACACTATACACTACTACACACTACACTATACACTACACTATACACTATACAATACACTACACTATACACTACACTATACACTACACTATGCACTACACACTACACTATACACTACACTATACACTACACTATACACTACTATACACTACACTATACACTACACACTACACTATACACTACACTATACACTACACTATACACTACACTATACACTACACTACTATACACTACACTATACACTACTATACACTACACTATACACTACACTATACACTACTACACACTACACTATACACTACACTATACACTATACAATACACTACACTATACACTACACTATACACTACACTATACACTACACACTACACTATACACTACACTATACACTACACTATACACTACTATACACTACACTATACACTACACACTACACTATACACTACACTATACACTACACTATACACTACACTATACACTACACTACTATACACTACACTATACACTACACTATACACTACACTATACACTACACTACACACTACACTATACACTACTACACACTACACTATACACTACACTATACACTATACAATACACTACACTATACACTACACTATACACTACACTATACACTACACACTACACTATACACTACACTATACACTACACTATACACTACTATACACTACACTATACACTACACACTACACTATACACTACACTACTATACACTACACTATACACTACACTACACACTACACTATACACTACACTACTATACACTACACTATACACTACACTACACACTACACTATACACTACACTATACACTACACTATACACTACTATACACTACACTATACACTACACTATACACTACACTATACACTACACTATACACTACACTACACACTAAACTACCCACTACACTATACACTACACTATACACTACACTATACACTACTATACACTACACTATACACTACTATACACTACACTATACACTACACTATACACTACACTATACACTACACTACACACTACACTATACACTACACACTACACTATACACTACACTATACACTACTACACACTACACTATACACTACACTATACACTACACTATACACTACACTATACACTACACACTAGTGCTGTACTAGTGACGAATTGGCCACGTTCTGTTTAGGTGACAACCCTTACTAGTTGGCTGTGTCGGGTGGTGGCGGGTTTTAGCGACACAACATTTATATATTTATACGCGCTCTACCTCAAAAACCTCTATAATGGATCATATTGGTCGTGAAAGCCGACGTGTTAAGCAGAATTTGGTTAAAAAGCTAATTTAATATGAAGAATGTATATAGTGCTGTCACTGGCAATCAGGATTTGACCATTAACCAGCTAGATGGGAGACCAAGGTTAAAACATGGATGGATGCCCAGTTACAAACCCAGGATATCTCAGCAGTGCTGGCTTGGAACTCTGACCCGACCTTAGCAACCTGAGCCCTCCAGCCATTTCTATCCTCGAAACAGTCTTAAGAATACAAATTCAAAGACCGCCGATTAAGCCTTCAAGGGCTGTTGGGGTAAGCGTTGTTAGCAAGGACCTATGAAGGCCGGTACTGTTGTACACGATGGGGTGGGTGGCCCAGGTCTCGGTTCAGATATTCGTCACGGGTGTTAGCCACGAGCGCGAATCGAACTCTGGTCGCCAGGTCCGTAGCACAGTACGCTAACCACTACACTACCGCTAACCACCACACTGCCGCTAACCACCACACTGCCGCTAACCACTACACTGCCGCTAACCACTACACTGCCGCTAACCACTACGCTACCGCTAACCACCACACTACTGCTAACCACTACACTACCGCTAACCACTACACCACCGCTAACCACTACGCTACCGCTAACCACTACACTACCGCTAACCACTACACCACCGCTAACCACTACACTACCGCTAACCACTACGCTGCCGCTAACCACTACACTACCGCTAACCACTACACTACCGCTAACCACTACACTACCGCTAACCACTACGCTACCGCTAACCACTACACTACCGCTAACCACTACGCTACCGCTAACCACTACACTACCGCTAACCACTACACTACCGCTAACCACCACACTACTGCTAACCACTACACTACCGCTAACCACTACACCACCGCTAACCACTACGCTACCGCTAACCACTACACCACCGCTAACCACTACACCACCGCTAACCACTACACTACCGGTAACCACTACACTACCGCTAACCACTACACTACCGCATCCCACACGGACCATGCACAGCGTACCAAGTATGCATGAGGCGCCTAAATGTAATGTAACATTGCGCGATGCCGTGTCTTTCCTCGCAAGAACAACTATCCAGTGCCACGCGGTGCACCGCACGACATCCTTTATTCATCAACGTGCATGCACGGCCACTGAAGCGATCGTTGCCGCCTGCCGCGTACGATTCAACCTCGAGCGTGCGGCCCCCCCAACAAGTGAACGTAAGCAATTCTCCGCCAAGCAGAAGCACGTACCAGAAGCTGTGGCCACACTTGGTGATGTACGCCTCTTCCATCGTGTCGAAACAGATGGGGCTGAAAATGCAACGGCACAAGCAATCATCAGGTTAGCAACACAAGCAATCAGACTGCAACACAAGCGATCATCAGGTTGCTTGCGTTGCAGTCGAAACGTCGTGAGAATTGTGTCGTTTTATATTTTTATTATTTTATTGTTTCCCTTCTACGTGGCGGTGACGTTACCGAAAGAACCAAGAATATGAATCCCTGCAGTCACGGAAGCTTTAAATCAAAAAACATTCACATTTACGCGATCTAACCCAAAAAAAACCTACAGCATGGATTTGGTCAAACATCCTCATGCAAGATCCTTCTTTTATACGAAAAAAATATTTGATGTTTACACAGCATCATATATACTACGCAGTCTTGTCGCTCACTTAGGCTTTAACAGATGAAGAGCATTACGAACAGACTAAGACAGCTGACGCAGTCGGACAATTAAGGATTCTATAGCTACGATTTGCCAATAAAGTACTCCACACAGAAGATGCTCTAGGGCAGTGGTTCTTCTTAACCCGGGCACCTCCTGGGGGTGCGAGATTACCGTTCTGGGGGTGCGAGGCATGGCCACATTGTTTTTAAAGGTAAATCGTTGAAACGCGTACGTCAGCGCGGGCACGTAATTACAACTACTTTATAATAATAGGGTTTTTTCCCCTTTTTTCTGGCGACAAAATTGAAACCTTTTTTTACGAGGATTCATGTCTACTGCATTAACCACAATACCTGCAGTCAAAATGCAAACATAGTATGTGTCTGAATTAACCACAATACCTGCAGTCAAAATGCAAACATAGTATGTTTATTGTATTGCATTTTGACTGCAGGTATTGTGGTTAATGCAGTAACATGAATCCTTGTTAAAAAGGTTTCAATTTTGTTGTCAGAAAAAAGGGGAAAAACCCATATTATTATATTTTGTTACTGGCAAAGGAGGTCTAATGATGTAGATGCTCACCCCGAGCCCTCATTACTTTTGACAGTGCATTGTCTTTGAGCTGCAAGCCTCGTGGCGTCATCTGGTCGAACACCAATTGGGTCGAGGCTCAAAAGAAAGCCGTCCCTTGGCGTGGACCAATCAGTTTCAAGGGCAATGCATCATATATTATCATAGTATGTGTTTTGTTTGCATTTTGACTGCAGGTATTGTGGTTAATGCAGTAACATGAATCCTTGTAAAAAGGTTTCAGTTTTGTTGCCAGAAAAAAGGGGAAAAAACCCTATTATTATATTTTGGTACTGGCAAAGGAGGTCTAATGATACAACTACTTTGCTTTATCAAGTCGATGTTTTATTCACGTCATAAAAATACAATTGAGAACCAATTTGGTGCAAGGTTGCAGTTAAGGTTAAGAACGACTTCTCGAGGACAGACAGATAGCTGTGGCAACTTCAGCACATCTTCTTTAGTTCTTTCGGTAAAGTCACCACCACGTAGAATGAGAATAAAATAATAAAATAACACAATAAAATTATCGCGACGTTTCGGCCACAACGCAAGCGGCCGTCTTCAGGTGCTTAAGGTTGTGTGAAATCCCTCCCCGTAGAGGCGGTTAAATTTCGATTTAAAGCTTTCGTGACTGCAAGGATTCATCTTCTTTGGTTCTTTCGGTAAGGTCACCACCACGTAGAATGGCCGAAACGTCGTGAGAATTTTATTGTGTTATTTTATTACTTTATTCTCATTCTACGTGGTGGTGACTTTACCGAAAGAACCAAAGAAGATGAATCCTTGCAGTCACGAAAGCTTTAAATAGAAACTTCAGCACACTGAGACATCAATCAGCTTTAGCTTTTAGGACTAACAGAGCATCCACTAAAGCAATTACACAGCTATGGCAATTATAGTAATGGTGTATTAGAACGTTACCGAGCTCAGATGTCCCCGATAAAATGTTCCTTGGAAACACGAATACTTTGTTGTCGTTATTATAGGACCCAAAAAAAACTGTTAAAAATAATACATTTTTAGTACAACTAAGTCCAGTCTGCCCTGTAAAGCGCCAACAATTATTTTTAAAAACAATGCAAACGCGGGACAATGGCTAGCATAACTTCTGCAAAATTTGTCGAATAATTTCACTGTAGAAGTAGACTGGAGTGACGGAACGAGTCCAATTGCGATGTTAGTACCGTTTGCATAAACATCTAAAACATCCTTGAAACTCAATTAAGCATCCCCGGATAAACGTAAACAATAAACGTCGTTATTGGCATTCACCCACCGAACACAAACACAAACTAAGCGCAATCAATACTGCATTAAACCAATGACGTAAATACTTTTTTTAAGTAAAGTGTCTCACCGATATTCGTACAAGGGTCTTTAAATGACCAAAAGCCATGCCAATGATCAACTGGTGGCCGAGTGCCTCCCCACACTCGCACCCTGCCGCCTGCCCGTCCACGACGATGTTTATACTCTTTGGTTCTTTTGGGAGAAGTCACGTAGGTGAAAATAAAATAACAAAAAATCACGACGTTTCGGCCACAACACAAGCGGCCTTCATCAGGTGAAGGGACGAGACTGTCTGGAGGACAGCGCTGGAGTGGGAGAAGCCACGCTTAGATCACGACCTTTAAGCTGTGTGAGAAGAAAAACACCAAGCGAGTTGACAAAGACGACGATATTCTTAGTTCTTTCGGTAAAGTCACGTTGAAGGGAAACAACAAAATAATAAAAAATATATAAAACAATAAAAATTCTCACGACGTTTCGACCATAACACAAACGGTCGTCTTCAGGTGTGTTGGTTTGCATAAATGTATTTTTAAACGGTGCATTTATTTATTTATAAAAAACGTTAGCGCCACGCGCAGCGATTTGGCAGTTTATTTAGGACTAGTCCATCTATATTCTGAAAAGAGGAGGGGGGAGACGAATTTTTTTTTTATGTATGCTGTCTGAAAGCCACTGTAAGCGTGAACAATCAATTAAGACCTGAAATGGTTTATCAAATCTTTCCAATGATTGCTAAGATAGAATCCATCTTCTCGGTTGAAATTGTCTCTGTGCTTGTATATGTGGATAGCCTCATGAACGAATCTCTCATGGTAGCCAGATGGCTTACAAAGACTATACAATCCGCAAAGCTATCACTCAAACCATGAAGAAGGACCCTCTTGAGGAGCCTTTCAAAACCATCACTTTACCCTACATTGCGGGGATCACAAAAAAGATCTCCAAAATCTTGAATAAACACAAGATCCAGGTCCGTTTTAACACATTACATAAAATCCGTGATATGGTTCCGTCTGTAAAAGATGTGATTCCGGACATACAATACCCTGGTGTCTACAAACTAAGTTGCCTCTGTGGTAGTAGTTACATTGGAGAAACCAAACGCCATGTCTCGGACCGCATTCGTGAACACAAAGCAGACCTTAAACACGGTAGGACCAACACCTCGGCCGTGGCAGATCATTGTTATAATTCAGTAGGCTCACATTCCATTGACTTTTCCAAGACAGAGGTTCTTTGTAAGCCATCTGGCTACCATGAGAGATTCGTTCATGAGGCTATCCACATATACAAGCACAGAGACAATTTCAACCGAGAAGATGGATTCTATCTTAGCAATCATTGGAAAGATTTGATAAACCATTTCAGGTCTTAATTGATTGTTCACGCTTACAGTGGCTTTCAGACAGCATACATAAAAAAAAAATTCGTCTCCCCCCTCCTCTTTTCAGAATATAGATGGACTAGTCCTAAATAAACTGCCAAATCGCTGCGCGTGGCGCTAACGTTTTTTTATAAATAAATAAATGCACCGTTTAAAAATACATTTATGCAAACCAACACACCTGAAGACGACCGTTTGTGTTATGGTCGAAACGTCGTGAGAATTTTTATTGTTTTATATATTTTTTATTATTTTGTTGTTTCCCTTCAACGTGACTTTACCGAAAGAACTAAGAATATGAATTACTGCAGTCACGAAAGCTTTAAATCAAAAGGCGACGATGTTTGTTCGATCATCCTCCAGCGCACTGCTGCTGCTGCTACTTCATTTGCGGCTTTGTACAGAAGCCAAGTTCCAGAACCGGTTCGGGGCATCTCTCTCTCTCTCTCGGCACTGAGGTTTAGGCCGTTGCCTGGAATCAAACTCGGGGGGGGGGGGGGAAAACGGGGTCACGGAGCGCCGTAACCACTCAATCCACGGGTAGCTACTCCCTGTACCTGGGATAGAATCCCGGCGACGGCTTACATCGGTGGCAAGCGATACTTGAACCAGTCCTGCCCAGCCACCCCCCCCCAAGTACTTCCCAAACACGCACTGACCAGCGTGGTGAAGTATGGACAAGCAATTCGCACGGAGCGACACTGCGTATTCTAGATTTAAAGCTTTCGTGACTGCAAGGATCCATACTCTTTGGTTCTATTGGGTAAAGTCACGTAGGTAAACAGAACCAAAGAGTATCGACACCGCGTAATTTGGAGGCCTTCATCCACGAGTAGATTGGGGTTCTGTCGCGTACGCGAAGGAACAGTCGACAAACCGCCACGCCGCCCGCGCGCGTCAAACCCAACCCACCACAAGAAGTCTTTGACCTTGTCTTCGTACGAGTTCACGAGGCCGTCACGGATGGCCGCTTGCGCCGGCCGCTTGCGCCGGCCGCCTCGAGGCGAGCCTCTCCCGGCCGCCCCGCTAGATGAGCCCGAGGCTCTGTCCGAAGAGCAGGACGACGAAGAGCCGGACGACGAAGAGCCGGACCCCATCACCGACGCCGTCGACATCGCCGAGGTCTGACAGAGGCGGATGCGAGACGTTAATAACAATGACAGTAAGACATTATTATTTGTTATTGTAATTCAAACATCGTGAAGGAGAAACGAGGCAAACGTCTCCACCGCCACCCCCCCCCCCCCCCACCACGCTAGAGGCGACTCGGTAGAGGCCCTGGCGTGGATCCCATCCCACCCCCCCCCGCGCCGAGAACAAAATGGACTAATCCGAGCGGGGGGACCACGTGACTGGCGCGTTTTTTGGGTTAGATCGCGTAAATGTAAATGTGTTTCGATTAAAGCTTTCGTGACTGCAGGGATTAATCTTCTTGGTACTTTCGGTAAAGTCACCACGTAGAAGGGAAACAATAAAGTAATAAAAATATAAAACAACAAGAACATTTTCTTGCTGTGGGTTTTACACCTGATGATGATTGTTTGTGTTGCGGTCGAAACGTCGTGAGAATTGTATTGTTTTATATTTTTATCACTTTATTGTTTCCCTTCTACGTGGTGGTGACTTTACCGAAAGAACCAAGAATACGCACCGATACTCTTCGGCTCTTTTCGTAAAGTCACGTGGTAGGTATAAAATAAAATAAATCACGACGTTTCGGGCGCAACACAAGCGTCCGTCATCAGGTGAGAAAGCATTCTCTGAGAAAGCATTCTCACAAGCGTCCGCCATGAGGTGAGAAAGCTTTCTCTGAGAAAGCATTCTCACAAGAGTCTGTCATCAGGTGAGAAAGCATTCTCAGAGAAAGCATTCTCACAAGCGTCCGCCATGAGGTGAGAAAGCTTTCTCTGAGAAAGCATTCTCACAAGCGTCCGCCATGAGGTGAGAAAGCATTCTCACCTGATGGCGGACGCTTGTGTCGCGCCCGAAACGTCGTCATTTATTTTATTTTGTACCCACTACGTGAAAGAACCAAAGAGTATGGATTCCTGCAGTCACGAAAGCTTCAAATCAAGATTAAATCACACCTATCCAAGACGATTTATCGTTGAACTCTGGGCGCATTCACCAAGTGGTTAAGTCACATTCGCCTATTGCTCTGCCACACAAATTCAATGAGACGAGCCCTTGCCTCCATGACAGTTAACTATATCTGCGCCTCGGTTTTCTCGGGTTTCTCTCGGTTCATATGGGGCTCTCTCTCTCTCAGGTTATTGGGCTTTCTACCAAAGGGGTTTTTTTTTCCCATTCGGGGACTCGCGGATTTGAACCCCTTTCAGGATGACACGGGTGAACTACATTAATACGCAAACGCTGCTTTAGAACGTTCGCCACAGCTACATGAGCTCGCAAGTAAGAGTGTACGGAAAATACAGCCTTTTCTCAATCCTGCCATGAAGTTTTAATCCCGAACGAAAACTAAACCATTTTAATTGTATCCACGATGACGATTGCGGATCTTATATCGCGCGATCTATCGTAGTATCGTCGCAAAGCGGTAATCCCACTTGGAACCCAACACTGGGCCACCGATGACCTCTAGATTGCAGGTCCGGTGTGCTAACCATGACACCATGGCAGGATTCCATATACTGTACTTTAGTATGACATTTTACTACAATTTTTATTTTACCAGGCAAGGCCCACTGAGCTGTATAGCTCTTTTTCAGAAGCGACCTGGCCAAAAAAATGATTGCTCAATGAAGTGGCTTATCATGTGGCGTTGTATAGCAGCCAAATACTCTAAACGCACGTTTCTCTAAATACTCTAAACGCATTCACAGGTGCAGGGGACCATGGTCCTTCCTATCTGCTCATCAGATTTTGTTTTCTTCCAGGGTTAGGAATGCACGGATTTCTACGCGTGATGTGTTTTTGGCTCCCTCCACTCCCCCCGGGAACATGGGAGTCTGCCGAGTTGAAGCTCAAAGTAAAATACTGTGGAGATGCAAAGATGTTAATTGTTATACACCGCAGGAGTATCACGAGAAATGACGGCGGCTTAGGAGAGGCCTTCATCCAGCAGTGGATTGCATATTACAATTTAGAGCTGGGACGATGAGTCCATGAAGGTGATTAATCACCAAAAAATTGTAATCGACTACATCTTTTTAAAGTCGATTACTCGGGCCTCAAGTCACCTCTCCGGCAGTGTGCGGCGACTGCGGTCACCACCCAGAACAGAATAACCACGGAACGTGGAACTGAGTGCCCCGATTCACAAACACGGAGAAGGAGGAGGAGGCATCGTTGTCATCACAGCGATGATTCACCACTCCGCTGCTCCCTGACCCAATTACCCGGCTCGACCACCTCGGTATAAAATTATAGTTTGTTGATCTACACCAGGGGTCACCAAACTTTTTTAACACTGGGCCGGATAACTGAAAGAATGACGAGCGTGGGCCGCATAATAAATAAATATTTCTGGAGCGTCGGAACCTTTGTTGACAGCCGGAAAATCTGGGGGCGGGAAAGATGCGTGTTTGTGTGTGTTGCAATGGAAACCATGGTAACGTGTTGCCATGACGTTGCCATGGAAACCACGGCAACGTCAGAGCGTAGGCGGAGCTACCACTTGGGATGGCGCGAAATAAGCAAACGTCACAATAAACAAGAACATCTAGATACAATAATTTACAATTTAAAACAGTACATTTGAGGAACATAGCAGTCAGGAGGTCTCCGCACGCGTGAAGATCTCCCAGTATTCTAAACATAATATTTAAATTGTATCACAACGTCTCGTGTTCCAATACGTTTTATCAACCAGATTCAAGTACCGTCGGCGGGCCTGACGGACTGACGTCGCTGGCTGAATTCGGCCCGCAGGCCGTAGTTTAGTGACCCCTGATCTACACCAACGTCGGCCCTACGAAGGAGAAGAAGCCTCTGGCCCCTTACATTATAGTGGCAACCCCCTCACGGTGCCTCGCCATCGTGAGAGACCCAGCAGGTTCATGACGGAACTGAGCTGAGACTTTTCTCCCCAACCTTCTTCAAGGCCGAATGGTCGGGGAACGGCACACACCAATGACACGAACACGTGCCATGGCCTGATACGTAGCTTATCATGTGTATATTTTATCTTCAGGGCAGTGTTATTGAGTCACGTGTTGAGCGTGTTTGTTGATTGTACGCTGAATCCTCGATCTACCATGCTATTCGGCCAGATATGTATATTTATACACACACTGCTGAAATTACACAACCGTAAGTTTGCTATTGATTTAAACGTAGTTTATTTATGTACTTATTTATTTATCTCTTTGGGAAGTCAGTGGCCAGCTGTTTGGCACAGATAAAGGGATTAAGAGCAGCTTAGCTGGAGGGGGGAGATGCTGCTGCACAAGGCAGGCAGCAGCGCTTCATTCATTAAAAAGCTGCTTTGAGGGCAGATGCAATTCATGCGAAACACCACCACCAACAACACCACCAACACCACCACCACCAACACCACCACCACCAACACCACCACCAACACCACCACCACCAACACCACCACCAACTCCACCACCAACACCACCAACACCACCACCCACACCACCACCACCAACACCACCACCAACACCACCAACACCGCGCACACCACCACCACCACCAACACCACCAACACCACCACCACCTCCACCACCACCACCTCCACCACCACCACCACCTCCACCAACACCACCACCAACACCACCAACACCACCACCAACACCACCACCACCACCAACACCACCACCAACACCACCACCAACACCACCACCACCAACACCACCACCAACACCACCACCAACACCACCACCAACACCACTAACACCACCACCACCGCCTCCCCACCGCGCACCCTTGCACGTTCAGCTTCTTTCGCACCATGCGTTGCCAACCGTGCTCCTCGGAGGTGCTGGGAAGGACGACGGGACTACACACACACACATCAGCTCCACGTGGGGCACTAATTGTCGTTTTGCTCAACGTCACTTCTACTTTACATTCGATGCTACGGTTCATTATCAGCACACCGCTCGTATCGAGGGGTAAACTGGTTCGTTTTCCCGACGCGGCAGTCGAAACAACGGAACTGCACGGGCACGTCTTAAACCGCCACGCGCCGCCTCTGCGCACCCGGCATCAGCACAACCGCGGTTAGCGGAGGAGTAGGCCAAAGTTCCCCGCGAGAAGGGATCTCTATAACCCCCCCCCTCCCTCTACTGGAGACCCTTCCGCCAGCAGTGGCAGGAGCAGGTCGTTGCAGGGCAGCACCTTGACCGTTACATTTTTATTAGAAACTAGCGGTAAGTACCCGGCGTTGCCCCGGGTCAAAAATAGTTTAGAACTACTCTTAAAAACCTTCCAAATACACACACAGATACTAAGGTATTGTGAAAGCCCGGTGGGCCATTTGTCCATGTCACCACCAACAAAATTATAAGAGGCTTGCAAAAGTCCAAAAAGTCATAGAAAGTGTGGGGTAAAGTTGATCTAAAGGTTTCCGAAAATTGTGGATCACCCCCCCCCCCAAAAAATATATATATTTACCCCCGCGTAGGTATAGTTAGTTCATAGTTCATTTATTTGGTATAGCCCTGTGAGCCATTCGGCTCTTGAATCGGGTGCAACCGCAACAAACAAAAAATATGAACAAGAAAACATCTTAAAGTGATTATGTGACTGTGCAAACAGAAAATACAGGAAAAAAATATCAAAATATTCCTGAAATAGCACCGTACACCAACGCTGTGTGCAAAAATCCCAGTGGGATGCAAGTCAAATAACAACAACAACAACCAGAAGACAACTAAGATTTAGGCCATCAGTCTAACTCCGTACTACAATAAACAAAAACATGGCCAAAACAAAAAAAACTTTTCGAAATCACCAAAATAAAAGCCATGAATGCAATGTAACAGTGATCATAGGGACTGTGTCCGAATTTTTAACAATAAACTACGTAAATAAATTATAACACCAAAATCTAGAGCCATATTTTAGGCCACTGAATAGCAGTGGCAGCTAGGGTTGTACAACTCCTCTAGAGCAGTTTTGAGTGAAGGTCTCATAGGTAGTGATTCAAGTTGCAGTTTATTGGCAATAGCATTCCAGACCCTGGGGGCATCAATAGCAAAGGCCCTTCCTCTAGGTATCTATACGTACACACCATACATACAACAGAGTAAGTAGTATCTATTGACTCTGTAGTTGTATCTACTGACTGTACAGTAGTATCTACTGAGCCAGTAGTAGCTACTGACTGTGTAGTAGTATTTGCTGATTGTAGCAGTAACTACTGACCGTAGTGGTATTTACTGGGCCTACAGTAGTGTATACCGACTCTATAGTAGTAACGACTAACTGTATAGTAGTATCTGCTGACTCTATAGTAGTATCCACTGACTATAGTAGTAACTATTAACTCTACAACAGTATCTACTCACTCTATAGTAGTATCTACTGACTCCAGTAGCTACTCACCGTAGTAGTATGTACTGACTGTAGCAGTATTGGCTGATTGTAGTGGTATATACTGACTGTTTTAGTATCTTCTAACTCTATATAGTAGTATCTACCAACTCGATAGCAGTATCTACTATCACTACAGCAGTGCATACCGACTGAGGTGGTACCTGCTATCACTACAGCAGTGCATACTGACAGTGGTGGTACCTGCTATGATTACAGCAGTGTATACTGCTGTGGTGGTACCTGCTATGATTACAGCAGTGCATATTGTGGTGGTACCTGCTATGATTACAGCAGTACATACTGTGGTGGTGGTACCTGCTATGATGACAGCAGTACATACTGTGGTGGTGGTACCTGCTATGATGACAGAATTACATACCGAGTGTGGTGGTACCTGCTATGATGAGAGCAGTAAATAGTGTGTGGTGGTACCTGCTATGATTACAGAATTACATACTGTGGTGGTGGTACCTGCTATGATGACAGCAGTACATACTGTGGTGGTGGTACCTGCTATGATGACAGAAGTACATACTGTGGTGGTGGTGGTACCTGCTATGATGACAGCTGTACATACTGTGGTGGTGGTACCTGCTATGATGACAGCTGTACATACTGTGGTGGTACCTGCTATGATTACAGCAGTACAAACTGTGGTGGTGGTACCTGCTATGATTACAGCAGTACATA